GGGGGGAGGAGGGGACCTCGGAGCAGGAAAGTCGGGGGAAGCACACCCCAAGTCAGGAACAGCATGCAGAGGCGGCTGTAGGTGCCTCTCAAGGGCAGGGTCACAAGAAGGCGGGACCCAGGTCACTGGGACTTTGTTTCCTGTGGTTCAGGCAGTGGAGGTTTGTACCCAAGCAGGTGACAGAAATGATGTATACCTCCAAAGGAGTCCTCTCATTGTTACTTTTGTTCCTTTTTTTTTTTTTTTTTGTACCAGGAATCAAACTCAGGACCTTGTGCTTGCCAGGCAGGCGGTTAGGCCGCTGAGCTATATCCCCGGCCCATGTTCCTTTTTTGTTTTGTTTTGTTTTTGCAGACAGGGTCTCACCATGGAGTCCAAGCTAGCCTTGAACTCACTAAGTACTCCAGGCTGACCTTGAACTCAGGGCAATCCTCCTACCTCAGTCTTCCAGGTGCTAGGATTACAGGCCTATGCCACCACATCCAGTTTAGGAGTATGGAATTCTTATGAGAGGCAATATTTATTTGGGATAAGTAGCCGGGCGTGGTGGCACACACCTGTAATCCCAGCGCTCCCGAGGCTGAGGCAGGAGGATCATTTCAAGTTCCAGACAAGTCTGGGCTACAAAGTGAGCTCAAGGCCAGCCTGAACTGCATAGCGAGACCCTGTCTCAAAAAGACAAAAAAAAAAAAGAAAGAAAGGAGGCACAATTAACTCTTGGAGACTTAGAGATCTGTATCCCTTCTTCTGACATATTCCTGGGCAGTTTCCCAGGAATGGTTCCTGGAGATGCCTTTCAAGTTTTATCTGGCTTGTCTCCCTGCCTACAACATTCTGTAACTCCCAGCAACTGGCAGCCCTCACGGTACAGGTATAGAATGAACATGAGTTTTGTGAACACCTCAGCGTGGGTTTCACTACCACCGCAGTCAGTTCACCTTGTGCTGAGACAAGCGGGCACCAGCAGAGCCCCCAGGGTACAGGCCACCGTCTACTGGTGCCTGGGAAGGAGGGACCTCAAGGACCAGGGTGCTGAGCCAGAGCTGTCAGGCAGGGCGCACACAGATGGCGCCAGGCGAGGAGGCTCCTGTGAGGTGGGGCTCAATCAATCAGGGAGCTGGGGTCGGAGACGGACAGGCTCAACCTGCGGCGGAGGACTTGGGGCAGCCAGGAGCCTCCGAGCAACTGCACCAGCGCGGCCTCCCACTGTCTCCCGACTGCCGAGCCTCAGGGCCACCGATTCATTGAGCGGACGCCAGGCGTGGGAACCGCAGGCCTGGCCGGAGCCCACTCAGCGCCAGACCAGGAGGGGATTAAGGCTGAGACGCTGTTGTCACAGCCAGGTCACCAGAAGCCCAGCCCTGCCTGGGCGAGATGGAGGGACACGGGCCTGGTCTCGGCCCCGGGGTGGGGGCTGTGGCTCAGGGAGCCCAGGAGGAACGAGGTAGGACCCCTGAGAGGGGGACACTTCCGACCTGCCCTCTGCTCAGGTTTGTCCTGCTCCTGGATGTGGCTGGGGCCACGCAAGCAGGATGCTCCGGAAACCAGGAGACAGACAGGCAGGAGTGGCCAGCGCCACCGTTCTCGGGGGCCAACTGTGCGTAGCCAGGCTGTGCCTCCGGGGCCTGTGTCCTCCACATCTGCAAGGGCAGGCCTGTGCCTCCCGGTCCCCAAGGTGTAGGTGGCAAGCAGCCTGGGAAGGAGCTGGGTGTTCAGCCCACATCTGCCCCCAGAGCCGCGTTCCCCACCCCGCTCCTCTGTCTCAGTCCCGGGATGCGTCTTCACAGCACATCCCACCCCCCTGGTGACTGTCACACTGATTTGCTTCATGGCGCGTGTCCCCTGCCTCCCTGTCCACTGTGTGGTGGTGGGGACGATGGTGACTGGATTGCCGCCGGCTCCCGGCCCGCTGCCTGCATGTGGCAGATGCCACCCAGAGTGTGTGGAGTCCAAGCCGCCTGGGCTCTGGCAGGAGACGCAGCCCCCTGCCCGCCGGGGCTCCGAGGTGGAGAAGGCCAGGCCGCCTGAGCCTGGGGCAGGGAGGCGGAGCAGGGCCAGGAGCCGCAGGCAGACAAAGGGCGTGTGTTCTCGGCCGGCGCACTTCCTGAGTTTCCATTGCAGGAAGTTCGGCACCTGCCTATCGGTGACAGCGACAGGACACCAGGCTGGCCTGGGCGGCCCCCTCCATCTGCAGCAGCCCGGAGGTGGGAGAGGAGGCGAGGGGTGCGGACGGCTGGTGAGTGGCGGCACCTGGGCCCCCACCCGCCCAGCGACTGTCCTAGGGTAGGGCCTGGAAGTTGGATCCTAGACTGAGTCGCTGTAACCTTGGGGGCCCTGCAGTCCTCTCTGGTGACATGGTGGGGTGGCTTGGGGAATACAGGGTGTGCCTTGTTGACCCGAAGTTAAGCTCCTGCGTCACCCAGCACTTGACAAGTGTCCTACAGCCCCCAGGCAGGCCCTTCCCGTCTCTGTGTCCAATGGGCCCCTCTTCCCTGTAGCCGAGGCCATGGGGCGCCTTCTGCAAAGGCTGCTGCAGAGGGCGGGGAACGGGGGCTCACCCACCGGGTAAGGTGGCCACGGGCACAGGCAGCCTCAGCTCTGAGGCGTGGGGGTGGCACTGATTCCTGTCGCTGTGATAGGCGGAGCAGTGTCCCCAGAGGCCCCCACCACTCTGGTGTGAATCAAGCTCTGCCCCTCACCCCTCGGGCCTCTCAGGACCTCAGCGTCCGGGTCTACGCAGCAGGAATGATCAGCCCGAAGCCCGGGCGGGTCCGGGGGGTTCGAAGAGCTGTCTGTAAGTGGGCACGCAGGAGGTCCCTATGAGTGGCAGCCACCGTGGTTCCTGCCTCTGTGACTGCAGTGTGGCTGTGGGGACAGATGGAAAGAGGGGTGACAGAAGCTGCAGGAGGGGCGACCCTCAGTGGGCGAGGGGAGGATGGGGTGGAGCGCCAGGCAGCCCGCTTCCGACCCCCAGGAAGGTGAGCCCTTGGGGTGTGGGGTGAGGAGCTGCAGGGCGGGTAGATCCTGCCTGGCCACGCCCCCCACGGCACTGGGTCCAGTGCTCCCCTGGCCTGCACCGCTGTGGCTTTAATCAGAAGAACAATCTGTTTGCTTCTGAATCAGACCCAGATTCCTTTCCCAGCAATGTTCCTGAGGCCTCCAGGGACCAGCGGCCCATCCCTGCCCCAGTCAGGGCCCCAGAGCCCAGAGCCCAGGCTCCCCATGCTCCCCTCCCACCGAGTTCCAGCCACTCCAGCTCGGGGGAGGGGCCCGGGAGGGACAGAGGGGCAAACCCAGCGCCCCAGGGACACTGGGACCCACCTGCAGGGGTCCCTCCGAGGCACAGAGCCGCTGGGAACAGCAGATCAATGCTCCGCTGGGGTGCCTGGGCCTCCCCACCAGAGCAGCCCCCAGAGCACCCCAAACTCAGCATCCACGGAGCAGACCCGCGCTCCTCTCTCGCCGACCTTCTGCCCTCCATCCCCAGCCCACAGCGGAGAGGTGGGCAGCAGCACCCCACTTTCCAGATGGAGACACCGAGGCCCGGGGTGCTGCAGTGAGTGCCCCAGGGCACAGGTTCAGCGCAGGGCCAGAGAAGCCAGGTCTGGTTGAGTTTGAAGATCCCGGCGGATCCCAGGCCAGACCGGGTGAAAGCACCCGGCACCCCAGCCCTGATGGGGAAGGTGGGGCCGCCGACCCAGGTGACCCGGGTGGGAGAGGGCAGGACCGCTCGCGGGTGGGCGCCACCTCCAGGCAGGGAGGGGCGGGAGGAGCGGTCCGGGAACAAAGGGAGGGGGCGGGCGGCGGCCCGCAGGTGGGGGCGCCCGGAGGCCCGGCCCCTCCCCCACGCCACCTTTTATGGAAGCGGCGCGGGCTGCGAGGGCGGGGGCGG